TGCTTGAGTTGTATTTTAGCTATTTTTGGGTTTCAAAAAAGGACGATTCTAGAACGGTTCGAAACAATCGCACAGTTTATTATTGAAATTTGTGAATACAGCTGAACCGGTGTCATTTAGTTGATTGATGAACTGTGCGATTGTTTTGAACCGTTCTAGAACCGTCCTTTTTTCGAACCCGAAAATAGCTTTTATGAGAGAATTTCATGAATCAAAAATTTAAATTTTTTGTCAAAAAATGTTAAAACACTAGTGTCGCGCCAATTATCGCGTGAAGCCTAATTCTCACTTGCGCGAGATTCGCTCTTTTTTGACATTGCTTCAATAATTTGACATTTGATACACGCATAAAACGTAAATCAACAATCAAAACATGTCAGTTTATTGTTGGAATGTCAGTTTGAGGGCTGAATGTGGCTACCAAGCTAATGAGAATATGGGTGATTTTAATGCCTGCCTCCCGTTCGAAAATTTGCAGAAGAAAAAAAATGATATACATGAGGATTTTTTTTTAATGATCTCAAATTTTTTGGCTTCTAAATAAAAGATCGATATTGATAAATAATTCACCCATAAAAAATACCGGGTGCTTTTCAATAGCTGAAAAAGTGGGGATGAGTGTGAACTTCCAAGAGAAAAGAAAAGAACCTTCCACGTTTACTTTTTGTCTGGTAATCAAGAGAATGGAAGGTTTTGTTGTGAAAATATCGCTGAAAAATCGCCAGACGGTAATCCCAGTTCGAAGTCGAGTTTTCCGGCGAAACGTTCTGTGGACATTTCGAACAGGTGGCACGCACTAAAACCACCTATATTCTCATCAGCTAACTAGCCACATTCATCCCTCAAAATGCCAGACAAAAAAAAATGACTCCACTAAACAGGCCCTATCTCACGGTCTATAATGTTACTAACCTAAACATGAAATCAGAAAATATGAGAATAAAATTTCCAAGATTTTTTTTTTTTTTTAATTAAACAATACCAGAATAGAAAAAATAGTATAAAATATTCGTTTCATAAGACATTTTATCGCACTCGTCCTTTAAAAATCCCGCCTCCGGCTCATTTTCTAATATAGGGCTCGTGTGATAAAATCACGTCTTATGAAGCTTGTATTTTAATGTACTATTTTTAAATGGAACACCCGGTATATTATATTTGTTTTCGTTAGAGCATATTATTCTGATTACAATGATATAACACACTTCATATTTTGTTAAACTGGTTTTTGACAAATCGGCAAAAATATATGAAATTTTTATATGCTCTCAATAATTTTCGTCCCAAATATCAGACCGCCGGCGCCGGCGCCGCCTAATAAGTTTCACTTCGAAAGTTTCATATTTTTGCCGATTTGTCAAAAACGAGTGGACCAAAATATGAAGTGTGCTATATCATTGTAATCAGAATAAGATATTCTATCGAACACATATACTTATAATATACACGGTGTTCCATTTGAAAAAATATATTGTAGGCTTATATGTCAAAAAGTTGATAGTGTTTTGTTTTACGTGTAATTTGAAAAAAAACTTGGCTACTAACCCTACATTTTGTTTTTTTGTTTACCTTGATAACTTCAAAAACAAAAAAGTGACAGATGATCAAAATGATATCGAAGATAAAAAAACACCCGGTACAGGGTGATTAAAAGATAGGAAAATATGCAGGGTTTTTTGGTAAAAGTAGAAAAAAAAATGGCACATCACTATTTTTTTAAACCTTTGATATTTTTTCCAGATTAAGCAAGTCATATTTCAGTCAAAAGAAACTTTTCGTTATCACAAATCAACCAGCCAAATTAAAAAAAAAAAAAAAATGGAAAAATTTTTGATCTGAAAAAACGATTTTTTCTAAAACTTTGACACCCTGTATCTCAGAAACTACGCATTTCTGGTCACATATTTATGGGAACTTTTTTTGTTAAAATATCGTAAGGAATGACATCCTGAAGTTACGGACCGTATTTAGGAAATACCCTGTATATTTTTCTATTTCAACTTTTAATAAATAGTTTGATATTATTTTTTCAAGAAGCAGAAACTCTTATAAAGGATAACTTTTTTTTCGTAAAATTGATAATAAAAAAGTTTCCCATGTGCTGCGAACTTAAATGGATACACTGTATTTTATGAGAAAATGTCATGAATCAATTTTTTTTTGCCAAAACACCAGTTCTCGCATTAGTTACTATGCAATAATTTACACGAATATAAATTATCACGTAATTCCAATCTGATTGGTTCAAATCAACAATCAAAACATGTTAGTTTATTGTTGGTATGTCAGTTATTTTGACAAATGTATGAAATTCTCATCAAAAAAACGGCCACTTAAATCAAAAATCGACGTATCCTTGTATTTTTGATGGATTTTATTCTTACTAACTGTATTTAACTATGCTATATGATATCTTCTTTCGTTTATTGAATTCTAGTAAAGTTATCTTTGTTCGTTTTAAGTTCATTATGAAATATATTCATATATTATATCACAAGACCTTCAAATTTAATCGATTAAACTATGCAACATATTTTGAGCATGATTTTGCTTGGAAAATAGTTGAATGCACAATAACTTAATAAAAGCTCGAGACCGCGAAGCGGTCGAGGGCTTTTATTTAAAAGTTATTGTGCATGAAACTATTTGCCAAAAAGCAAAGTTGTGCGAAAAATATTTGGATAGTTTAATCCATTTAAATTTCTAGGTCGAGTGATATACGGCTAGATTATTTCCTGAATAATTATTAGGATTGAAGCCACAAACAAAAAGTTCTATTTTTTATTATAAAATGTCAGAATATTTCTATCAAAATTCTGTGAAAAAAGGTAAACAAAAATTTAATCGCTGATAAACAGGTCTTGTGAAATAATCACTTATGGCCGTTTCCACCAACTATTTTAGGGAAGCCTTAACGATAAGTATTTCCTAAACTGACATTTCTCCATGGAAAACTGTCAGTTTAGGGAATACTTATCGTTAAGGCTTCCCTAAAATAGTTGGTGGAAACGGCCATTATTTAAACAAAATTTATTCAAAAAATTACGTTGTCTGATTGGTCTATTTTATAATGAATGAAATAATCACCATAATTATTTACACAAACTAATAACTGGCCTTGCAGTCCTCCCGCGTTGTGTAATTTTTACTTACCCCGGTGCGAAATTAAATCCGCCAGAGGCAGCACCTCGCTGCAGCCAAAATTTTTGAATTTCCGTGTTTGCAGGGCTTACAATTTGAGACGAGATCTCAAAAACTACTTAATATTTTTTAGTGAATCAAGAAGATTCGAAAAGATAATAAAATTTAGAACAATGCTCTTGTTTCATTTTTTTGAAAAAAGCGATGGGTTTGGATGTACCGAGCGATAGAAATGATGCTTTTTTTCGAGTATTTAGGTCGTGATATTTTCAATTTGCAATTTTTTTTTTCGAAAAACTAAAACAACAGCATTATTCTTTAGATTTTTATCTTTCATTATTTTCTAATCCGGTCAAAAAATATTACAAAATAAGTGAGTTCTCGTCTCAAGAAATCAACCCTTTTTCTTAATTTTTAACGGCTTGTTGTTGGCATTCTCTACTTTTCTTACAGAATACGGCCAAAAGAGGCGAATAAAACGAAAATTGGCACTTGGTTTTCAATCAAATAAGATACAGAACATTATGAAGTCGAGTAATAATTTTTTATGTCTAATTTTTCAACCTAACGTTTTACTAAAGACAACCATGTTTGATTATCAGCGTTAATACGGGATACCGTATTCACTCGCAGGAAACGTCAAACTTTATCGGTTAGTAAGGGATTCCGGTATTTCGCTGTCAATGCGCATGCCCGAAATAAGCGATAAAGTAAAATGGCATCAAAAGTAGAGGTGCAAAAGGTCATCACGATGGATGTCCATTTAAATCCTATATATTCATAATCAAATTTACCAAAGGGTATTGGCACAAAATGGCGACGTTTTCCATTTGAATATATAGGATTTTAAAGAACCATTAAAAAATAAGACAACAATTGTCGCCACTGTGGTTTAATAGAGTCACTGTACCAACGAATACAGTGACTCAATAACCCTTTACAGACAGTGACCACAATAGTGGTCCCGCCGCCATATTCTTGCTAGTTTTAAATATTTCATGGGTGAATATAGAAGTAAGCCACGTCCCCGCCGCCATATGCTTGCAAATTTTCCATATGAATATATAGGATTTTGAAGAACCAATCAAAAATAGGTCGGCAATTGTCACCACTGTACGTTGTTTCTCAAACACAATTTACTTTGAAATATCAGATTTGTTTTGGTTTGAAAAAAGAACGGTTCTAGAATGGTCCAAAACAATTTATTATTGGAATTTTTGTAAGCCGAGCCGTTGTCATTTTGTTGATTGATAAACTGTGCGATTGTTTTGAACCGTTCTAGAACCGTTCTTTTTCAAACCAAGCAAGACAAAGCTATCATAAGCGTATTTTTTTCGCCTGACTTGCCTTCAGTTTCCTTCAACAAATTGCAATGACAAACTTATCTCGATTTTTGATAACGATAATGTGGAAGCGAATATCGATTTTCTTTGCGAAATATTATTACAAGGCGTATTGTCACTGTAGTAAAACGGCTCGTAAAGTACACGCCATTTATTGAAAAAGTCGTAAAACCTTTTTTGTCGGCATTTTTGTAGGCGCGTTGTAATATAATTCTTAACAATAAACTGGGTTTTTTCCTTGGTACACTACTGGTATGTATAAAAATGTAATGATAAATGGATTTTTTTTATGATTCCAAGTTCAGTATTATTTTTTTCTGGCACCAAATTGAAAACTTTGGTAGTATGACGCACTCTGATTCATGAAAACAGTTATTTATTATTAAACGTATTAAAGACACAAACAATTAAAAAGGGGTCGATCTCAATTATTCAATATTCAAGCATATAAAATATTTTCAACAAATGTGAAGCGAGTTACTATTGGAAAAAAAAAAAAAAATGTAATTGACTTACTTTCTTCCGGGACCCCTTGAGGTTGAGGGCATTGGATGCTTTCGTATTGGGTCCTTCCATAACTCGCGCTATACACAGCTACCCTCGAATTTGGATTGCACTTGAGTTGAATCCGTTCATTTTCACAGGCCACTTTGCTTCGAAACTCATCTAAAAATTTCAAAATGTAAATTGAATGCAATATTTTTATGAAAGCAAATCAAGATTTTTCTTTTTAATTATCTACACGAGGGTTTTTGAAAATTTATTTCTGGGACCTACAATTTGAAAAATCACAATCTACCAGCTTCTTTGTTCTGTTATCCCAACAGCGAATCCTAAGGTAAATTAATTTGAAATAATACTTCATGAGCTGTGACTACAGCTTCGCGCTTAAAGAGATGACAAACAATATCGGTTTTATTACGCCGGAAGAACGAAGCTCCCTTATTCAAGCGCCAATTAATTATTTTAATTCAAGTGAACCAATAGGTTTGGCTGAAAAAAACCATGATAAGATTCATTTAAAAGACCTTTTACTGCAGTAGGTAGGTATAACATAATACAGTATCCGCCAAAATAAACAGTACTGAACATATAAATTATATCATTGATTAATTTGTATCATGAGTATATTGCACCTCCGGAGAAACAATGTCATAAGTGCAAATTTTTCTAAAAATGAAATTATATTGTCAAAATATTCTAATACCTTCAGACCATCTTATAGCCACAAAGACAGATTTGTATTTTGAAACTCTGCCTCTAGATAGCGCATATGTCTTTGTGGAAATGGCGCGAATGATGTCCGCTCCTAGAGCAAACAATGACCGATTTTTCAGTTGTGCGCACAAATGTAAATAAGACAAATAAATTTGTAATTTATTCCAAAGCAACTACGACAAAAATGTATTTTGTATCGGTTTTCTTTTTTAAACCTGCAATGTTAGTGGACCAACAAAGACGCAAATGCATTTCATGTCATTAATTAATTCACCTAATTGAAAAAAATAGCTTAGCCCTAGGGCAACAATGACATAATTGAAGAGGTTCTGCCCTAAAAACTTTTGAATAGGGCAAAATTGTAAAATGAATTCAAAAAGCAAACTCAAGGGGAGCTATACATATTACAGAATTTTCATAAAAATTGAATTCGCCAGAAAATGTATAGTTTATTGTTTTCGTTTTGAGTTGCAGAATCTCTGGAAACTTTAAAAGCGTTTCCTCGAAATTTCACAAATTTGCACTTATGACCTTGTTTCTCTAGAGGTGCGATATGTTCAAAAAATGCACCACAGCGACGCAAAAAAGCTTCATAACGATTCTGCAAATCATTGGAAATATTTATTAAGAGTGGTCGCTGAAATTTTTCTGAGACTTGTTTCAAACTTGAGCCTTTATTCCTTCCAAATCCGTATGACTGGAAATAGTGCTCTACTAAGAAAACTGTTTCTTAAGTTGAATGATAAATAATGACGAAGATTTTAACCTTAACTTAATATCAAACTCATAACTAATGCCAAGTAAGCGAAATATGATAAATGCAACTTGCGTGCGCAATTACTCAGAGCTCTAGATTTCGGTACTGTTTATTTTGGCGGATACCGTATATTATAGAAAGAGCAGAGTCTAAATTATGCCGACGTTTCGAACATGTGTTAGTCTCTTAGGAGTATGATTATTTTCTATTCTGTTCTCACTGTCGTCGATTGAGCGTTTTCTGATGGCTATATAAACCAGCGAACACTCTTCCGCACTCTTGACACACCCAGTATCTGGCAGCATTGTCTCTTCTTCTGTTCTCTCAGGAAGGAGCCCTACGGTCCCTCTTTTCGGTTTCGTGTCTGCGTTGCTGTACTTCAAAAGTTTATGGTCGGTCGTGGACTAGTCGACGCCATGAGGGCCTATCATTAGTTGTCGTCTCCCAGTTGCTGGTATCGATGCGGCACTTAAACATATTCTCCTTTAGAACATCTTTGTAACGTTTTTGTTGAGCTCATTGATTCCTTTTTGCCTCTTTCAGTTGATTGTAGAGAACCTGTCGTGGAAGACATATTCCGGCAATGCGGACGAGGTGACCTGTCCAGCGAAGTTGGTGCCTAATGATGAGGGCTCCCATGCTAGTTGTTTTGGCGTCCTCTTAAACACTAATGTCCGTTTGTCGGTCTTGCCATTTTATCCGTTAGATCCTTCTTAGGCATCGCTGGTGGTATTTTTCTGGGCTTTTTATGTGGTTCATATTTCGCAGCTATATGGAAGTGTAGGTATTACAACAAAGTTTGGTTTCAGCGCTGATGTCGTAATTGGTGAAGACTCTATCTAGAAGTCGCCCGAACGCCGCGCTAGCACATTTTTAGCGATGTTGGATTTCAACGTCAATGGTTGCATTCGCTGATAGATGGCTTCCAAGGTATGGTTATTGTTCTACGTTCTGCTAAAAATGGTCGTTTATGCTTGGGGATTATTATCTGGTGCGGGCTGGTGCAAAATCTGCATCTTGATAAAGTCGACCTTCAAGGCCGATTCTTCTGTATGCCTGGTTGAATGCACTGATAATTGCCTGAAAATATTCCCCTGTAATGGCTATCACGACGTTATCATCCGCATATTAGCGATGACGTCGATACTTTCGTCTTGGCTCGTAGCTTCGTATTCTGTTTAGGTTGTCTGTAGTTATTTGAAAATAATCTCCTTGCCCATCGTTGCTTAGGATGATTGCATTCATAATATCATGCAGCAGAGAGAATCAAATGCTTCCAGTAAATCTGAAGGCAATGCATAGAGGGCGGTTTTTTTCCCTGGACTTATCTTATTGAAAATCTTGTCAGCTGTAGGTACCTTGGTTGGGTCTAAAGCCATACTGTGTCTCTGGGAGGTTCTCTTCGGCAGTTGGTATTAAGCGATTTGATAATATCCTGGTAAGTTTGTTTTCCGCAACAGAAAGTAAAGATATTCCTCTGTAATTTCCACATTGAGCCTTGTTTCTCCTTTTAAAAATGGCAACTATGGAGGCATCTCTAAATTCGGCAGGTATGTTCTCAGTATTCAATATTTTACTTAGTAGGATGTAGGTTTGGGCACTTAGTGTGGGGCCTCCTTGTTTAAAGAATTCAGCAGAAATGCCGTCAGTACCGACTGACTTATTGTTCTTCAGTTGTCTGATTGCCTTTTCAATCTCCTTTTATCTGAGAGCCTCGCTTAGTTCTTGTTGTATTGGTTTCTGTGGAATTTCGTTGAAGATGTCATTAATAATTTGTGATTCTCTGTCAAGTATTTCCTGAAAGTGTTCTTTCCAACGAGAAATAATGGAAGAACTTCAAGCAGTCTTCTGCCATCTTTGGATCGTAAGGGATTGAGTCCTTGAGTGTTTGGTCCGTATACTATCTCAGTAGCCTGAAAGAAGGCCCTGGTGCTGTTTGGCTGTTGGATTCAGCTAGTTGCTACTAGTATGAAATAATAATGTTTGACTGTAATCTATCTGAATCTCTAACAAATACTGTATGTATTGTGCTTCCTGATTTCGTGGTTGATATATGCGATCCCCACTACTAAGTCGACTACGTGGAAGTAGAAGGCACGCCTAGCGTTGCATGTTTTGGTTACATAGCAACTCGCATAAAACGGACTCACCATTCACCTATTTCAAAAAAAAAATGTCTCCCAGTGTTTTGTAATATGTCCTACAATACATTTCCGAGTGAAGACGTGATACTCTCTTGCTGGTAAAATAGCCTGCGAAGAAGACCTGATAACTGGTTGAAATGTCGGCAATTTTTTAGGAAAGGGAGTTTTATTGTCAAGGTCCTCACCCCATTATCTCTGCTCTATCTAGATTAACTAAGGTGGATATCTATACCTAAGCAAACGTTATAATATAATTTCAATTCAAGGCGTACCAACGTAAGTAGACGAATAAAAAATAAATAAAAAAACTGTCAATTTTCTGTGTGTTACTTCAGAATTTTAATACAAAATAATGGTCCTTTAAGACTAAACTAATACCTAAATGCACATATACGTTTCGAAAATCAAATTTAACTTCATTATAAAGAGATAAAAGTTTCAATCCCTATAGCGTGAAAATAACTGCATGTAACTTACTTTGAGTCTGAAGTAAGTGCAATTTTCTAGTGCCTGTTTGGAATGAACGATAGGTCTAGTTACAGCGTACGACAAAAATGTTTATTTAGGCAAATTTACAAAGGGCAAATCCTTGTGATGTGTTGTGTATAGGATCAAATTAGAGCTTTTGTACCATATTTCATAAAGAGGTTTCAAGTTTGTATGGGCTAGAGGAGGAAATGTGTTTGTAAGGAAAATTGAAGGGAGCGAAAGGATAAAAATAGTGAGTAGGGATGACATACAAAACCTGTATTAATTTCTGCTTGCCTTAGTTTTGTAAATAGATTTGCTGGGAAAACTATTTATTTGTTATGAGCAATACTGTAAATAATAACTGCCTATCATCCAATAACTTAAATCATAATGATCTCTTTGATGACTACCAGGTTACCGAGGTTCAGGTGTGTAATTGTTGTGATGATGTAAAAATGCCGGCTAACCTGGACCGTCTTAATTTAATACATTTTAATATTTCAAGCATTAACGCCCATTTTGAAGAACTTATAGCTTATCTCGATTCAAGTAAATTGCAGTTTGATGTGATAATACTATCTGAAACCCATAAAGTACATAACTTGAATAATTTTAGGTTAGATTATTTTGAGGTCTTCCATAATGAAAGTCAAATCAACAAGTGTGATGGAACCATAGTATATGTTAAAACCTCACTATTGCCTAAGGCTGATATAATAATGGTGAATACTTCTAATTTCCTAAGAGCTAAATTAACGAATATTTTTTTATCACCTGCAAAAAAAGTTTAAATTTAACATTGGTAGGTATGGGTATTTATCACATAAGCAAAACGTTTATGCTTCATGGATAATTTGAAAAAAATGTATTGTAAAAACACATAAATGTAAGAAAACAAAGGTTAATGCTCTCATTTTTTCGAAACATAAAACATTAAATAATGGACTGCTTGTAATATTTCTGGCACCAAAACAAATATTTGCTAGAGGGCGTTAAGAAAGGGCAAATGGGTTAACAAATCTACTTCTATAAACAAGACAAATAGCGAAAATAAAACTGTTTCCGCAAAATCCCTAGATAAAACGACCATCTTACTATCTAAACATATTTCTTTCACGATTTATCTTTACGCTCTTATTTATTGGGGGTAGCAAAAACTGGTCCGGTAATGGCTCAAAAGTTACAAAATCACTCTGCCTAATATTGAGGAGAAATTATTTACTTTTGAAAACAAAGGAAAATAATAACTCTATGAGCTTTAAAATTATTGTTAGGTTTTACCATTTGATTACAATTTTCATTATGTGCCTAATGTTACAAATATACGCCTGTACTGCTTGAAATGCAAATATTTGATCAAATTTCTTCCATTGATGAAAAGGATTTCTTGAATCAAATCTTACAAAAGAATTAACCAGCTATAATCCTAAGTTCATTTTGTATTAAATAAATTTTGGTTCGACGAGGAATGACAATATCCTAGAGATTACCTATGATGAATGGGACAACCAGTACACTGACTCTATTTCTTTAGACAATTATGGTAGCATTCAGCAAAAGTTTCCACTCCCTGATGTGAGTATGTGTTTTTACTTTCGTCTATCTCAAAGAAGCTTAAGGTGAAGGCCCGACTTTGTGTAAATAAATGAAATATTGTCAAATAGTAGATTGACTGTGTCTTCCTGGGAGAGACCTGCCCTCAACGAGTAGCCCTATGCTGTCTATCATTTGTCTCGAAAAGTCGAGAATAAAGGCCCCTATTACCAAATTGTTCTTCAATGAATCTATCCATTTTGACAGCACTGTCTGCAGGGCACCCTCACACGAGTTATTTATGCGGTCTTGAAACATGTCAAAATTTTGTTATTTTTTACATCATTTCCAATTTGACTATTGATATAACAAGTCACAGGTGCGAACCATGTTTATTAGGCGATAGTCCTGACATAATTTGGAATTACCTTTTTTTTTCTATAGTAGGATAGGGGATGTTTTTCATCCATCAGAGAATTTTCCGTTCTTTATACTTGTGTTTATAACTTGTAAAACATGATGACCTATGGCTTTAAATGATGATTTTAGAATTCCTCTGTTTAGCTATATACACTGCCTGTTTTATTATTCATATCCTTCACAATTTTCTTAATGGAGGAGTCCACTGGTGGACGCCAGGGTGAGTGGCTGATGATGGTGTTAGACGTAAACAACTGGATTCATTGAATGTGGCCGTGTAATGCCATTTCGTAACAATACCAAGTTTTGACGAAGATGTACACTCAATTTAGTTATAATTAATCATTAAATATTTTCAGAACTAAGAACGATAAAATAGAATAATTTTTCTCTGTCTTCTCATTAAGGGGGTGATTTTAACTTATATGGCGTACATCTACAAAATAAAAACATGGATTATACCCAGTGTAATGTATTCAAAGGAGTTGAAAATTAAAAATGTTTATGAGGTTTTTGACCTTTTTCCAGGTGAGTCGAATCAACTCTTTGTTTGTTGTAAAAACACTTCAACTAATAACCTATATGAGTATTTCATCTCTTATGTACAGAGCCTTTTAAAATTACATGAAAACCCTTTGCTATGTGTCTTGATTTAGGATCATTGATGAGTTTTATCAGAAGTAAATAAAGCTTTGCACAATTCTTAGCATTTCATAAGAATCCAATGAATCTTTAATGTGGGTACCAAAGTCCATGATTTTGACGTTAAAAAGTTACCTATAAAGAATTTAAAAATTAAAAGTTTGACATTACGAAGATATGTATTTTGAAAACGTAGCATTTCCGATTTTTTTGTGAATTATGTTTTATTATCACCCTTCATACCTACTTAGACTGAAATGAAAATTATGTCAAGTTCATCTACACTTTCGTCCAATTTGACATTTTACCAATAAAAATACTGTTTCACTTTATAGTAATTTTGCGCAAATCGGAATAAAATCATGCGATAATAACTAGGAAAAAAGATATTCCGCCATGAAATTTTACCATCGAAAAAATAATCAAGTAATTTGAGGCTTCATCACTTTTAAAGGCAAGATAAAAGGAGGAACAATTCTTTTTAGGACTGTCGAGAGTGTCCTTATTAAAAAGTTTAACATGTCCAATTATTCTTGATACGTACATACAAGCTAAAGAACTGGCGTAAAGTTGTTTGCGTCTTTTTGTAAATATCGTCTTACGACTTCTCGGGCATCTCTCTAATAACGCTCGTAGAAGGATCCAAGATGCCTCCATTTATTCTATTTTTGCTTTACCCATTTAGCGTCTAGAGGTCTCCATTTCGACACTCCTATGATCGTCGTAGCTCCCAATGAGTTTCAAGGCTCATTTTTGAATTTTTTTTATGTAGGTAGGTAGGTACTGAAGTTGAAGTTTTTGATTTTCTTACATCAAGGAGTTTTTTGTTGAAGGCAGTACCTACTAGATTACAATTTTTTTTAAAAACATTTTGAGTCCTTCAATTATCCAAGGAAATTCTTTGCTACATAATAACAACAAGTGTTAAATAACCATAATAATTGATAATTTGCCTAAAATAAACACATTAAATGTTTATCCTGGTCTGACAGTTTATGATTATCTTTATAAAACTGACATATGAATATAAAAGGTGCATTAAAACTTTTGGTAGTTTTTGTTAACATCATAACATCGCATTATCCTTTCAATTCATTATATATTTATTATTCAATCATTTGCTTTTGCAATAAACGAATACAAATTCATCAAAAGCAAATATTCAATAAGTTTTATTGGTATATGGATGTACGGGCAACATTTCGAATTATTATTTGACCATTTTTGTTGTGCATTATAAAACAAAATTAACCACCAAATAAATTAAGTAATTATAAATTAATGAGCTTTTGGTAATGCCTACATTTATTGATAGATAACAGCAAACTATATGCTTCTAATAATTAAAAATATATTTATAATTCTCGGCTTTAAATGGTAGGTACCCAAATAAAATTATGTACCTAATTGTGAAATTAATTAAATTTCATCATAGTAATCAGTAAGTCAGTCAAATAAATAAATTAAAGATATACCACGAGGACCCAAAGTGCGTTCCCTTCGGGACGAACTCAGGTATTTTCTTTGCATTAGTAGCAAGTTTGATCCCGATAGGTGATAGATCTACTATGGGGATGCGCCCTATAGCCTACGCGAGCCTTGCTTCATCCTCTAACCACTGTCATATCGTCAATCCTTGTTCAAACCTAACCTTTCCTTTCCAATACCCCAAGCCTACAACCCTACAACTCGCTAACCTGCTTGTCAAGGGTTCCAAGATGCCGAAACCTCGTAACATGAATATATGGAGTATCAACGCGATATTATTCCTGGTCAGTAGATTAAACCACTGAGAATCTCACACTGAGCAATCCGTCAGCCTCATGGATTCTGGGCGAGGCAAATACTCGACTGACAGAACGCTGAAAAACAGAGCCTAAATCAAAATTAACCCACCTTACTTTCATATAGCTGAATGCAGCATACGAACTATGAGGACCCAAAAACACATTGACGAATCAAAACCATAACTAGCCAACATCAAATGGTGCAAACTTTGCCTTTGCGAAACTTGCTTGCCAGGAGAGAAGTGCACAACTCTAAAATCCGATAACAAAATACTTTGCAATGTCTAACAGAGTTATATAACCCTTTACTAGTACCTACTTTGTTTGAGGCATGTTAACAAGTGAAATATTTACATATTATTTCGGATAATGCTGGACATAGATAGGTTATTTTTGAATTAAAAACTTTTCAAGGCGCGTTCAGCACATTTTTTTTTGGGAAGTGAATGAGATCAAGCCGTCACGGCCGAATAGATAACGCTCATTCGGGTACAGTCTGCTCGAGTCGACTTCAGCCAAGCAAGAGAGAAAAAAAGTCAGCAGTGCGTGAGAGAGAGATAGTGCAATGGGGATTCAATCGGGAGTCCCCGTAGAACAAATTTTTGCGACGTTGCCGATATTAGTGGCAAGAGTTTGCCAGATAAAAAGTGACTAATTCGATAACCAAGAAGAAGAAAGAAAATAAAATTTTTGTCTATAATCCAATATTCAGTAATAAGGCAACCTAACGTCCTGTCAAAAATAATTCAATATGGCGGCATAATGGTCAAACATGAGCGAAATTTGTTTATTTAACTACGTTTTATTGACTTTTTGAACTAAAGTGAAAACTTCTAGGCGTGCGCACTTTTTTGTGGGTACTCAATGAAACTGGGCTGTCAGATGACAATCAGTCATAGTAAAATTTACCAGACTAGGTAATTTATACACAAATTATACCAAACTAGCTCTTTCCCGCGGTTTCACCCGCCGTTTAATTTGAATTTGAAAGAAATCGGATTATTGTAATTTTTAGGAGATTTTTTTTTTTTGTGTGACAAATCCGCTTTTAATGAGTGAGTGAGTGAATGAGTCAGTGGTAGTTTCAGATATTAGCGCACAAACAAACTCTCCAGCTTCCTTATATTTGAATTTTTATATTTTTTAATAAAAAATTTGAATTTCTGTTTTTCAATAAAAAATAATACAGTTACGTCGGTTGAATGCGCCAACTTTAATAAATATGGCAACGCTGTTTCATGTTGATGTCAAAAAAAAAGTTCAACAGTGAGTTCAAAAACACATCAGATAAAGTTTACTCTTCTGAGGGTCAGTTTTTCAAAAGCGAGTCACCTCCGGATTGGTTTTTAACTCTAGGGCAAACGTGTCCAGTTGCAATGTAATTGTGGAGTTATGCTCAACCCGGGGGTGACTTGCTATTGACAAACTGGCCCTGATCACGTGACCATATACCCACTCTCACCCTTGGGTACAATTTACCCCTTTTTCGAGCGCACTACAAAAGTTGGGTTGTATATGTGAATGAGTTTGTTTATAATTAATAAAAAACTATTTTTTTTTTTTCAATGTTCTTTTTCATGAAAAGAAAAGTATCCTATTTTGTTTACTTTACTCTTGAAAATATGTGTACAAAATTTCATGATGATCGGTATAGCAGTTTACTCGAGAAAGGGTAACAAATGAACAAACCACGTTCGCATTGCGCAGAATCCTGACGGTAATATTACGGTTTCCTGCTGGGTTGGAACAAAGCAATTATATTTCTATACCAACCCAACCAAGTGAAAACCAAACAATGAAGATACTTTTGGTAGATTTTATGTAATAACATTGTTCGTACCATGAGAGGTATAAACATGGATATTTGGATTCTTAAATTTTTGTTTCATTGTTCATTGATAGGGGTTCCTACATTCAGAAATTATGGGCTAAAAAATTCACATTAAAAACCAATTTTTGCGTCAAATGTAATTAAAACTTTTTCACTTCTAAAGCCTTCATCGTACAATCATAACTTTAATGTAACGAAAATTGCATTCTCGATCGAGATCGTAGCGACAGAAAGAATCTCATTTTCCATACTCTCCGCTCCCTTTCGAAAAAGTAATTTCATTGGCAGGGACGCAAAATAATATAAATATATAACATGGAAATCCATTTTCTCATTTTGTCTGTAATATATTTTCCACATCTATCATTAAAAATCCTCAGTAAGGTTAAGTGAGAATGGTGTCAGGCAGAGCCGGTATTCTCGTTCTCCCAAGTGTCTAGCGTTTCCGAGTTGGAATAAGCGCTAAGCGAGTTGAAAAAACCTATCATTTGGTTGATGGTATGCTTTGCGTGTCAGTCATTTCATATTGTATTTCTATCAGAACAAACATCTAACTTTGTGGTTATTTCTTATTTTCGA